ATTCTAATGGAAGTTCTCTGACTCCCACGTTGTTGCTCTCCCTACCCTCTCAGGCTGATCAAGATATCTAAGCAGTATCACTAAATATACTAGAATAAAGATAGAAAGCTAAACCATATTTGAGAAAGGAGAGATATGATGGAGAAATACCCTCCTGCCTTTTATTTAACATCCACTTTACTTAGTGGTTCTTGAGATTTTTTTCACCAGTTGCCTTTCCATTATACATGTCTCTTGATTTCCTGAAAAATAAAATGAGAAAAGCGAAGAGAGTATGATCCCCCCGCGGTTGAGATTAAGTGGCAATGATAAGCAGCCGTGGGGCAGTGGAAAGAGATGGATGGCCTTTGGCACTGAACTGAGGGCCTCTGTATGAAGTCTCGCTACAAATAAAGCATTTATATTTTCCATCTATGGGCAGCTAGGTGGTTCAGTGGTTAGAGCACCAGGCCTGAACTCAAGAAGACTCCTCTTCCTGAGTTCAAATCTGGCCTCAGACACTTACTAGCTGGGTGACCCTGGGCAAGTCATTTTACCTTGTTTGTCTTAGTTTCCTCATCTGTAAATTAAGCTGGAGAAGGAAATGGCAAAGCACTCCAGTATTTTTGTTAAGAAAACCCCAAATGGGGTCTTAAAAAGTAGGACACAACTGCAAAATGACTGAACAAACAACTATTTGCTGCCTAGGTTATTCATACTGGCTTGGCTGGCCCAAGAAAAAAAAAATGCCTTCTAACCATCCTATTTCTCCCTACTGCTGGTGTTATCCTGATTCTAGATTTCTCCTGCCTCTTTGTCCCCTGGTATCTACGATGGTAGAGGGAGTTGACTACAGAGGATTCCATCCCAATCCCTATCTCTTTCCCCAAAGCTAATAAATGGCAGTGCCAGAACTCAAATTCAGATCTTTATTCTACGAGTACAGTTTGCTCAGACCATACTGTGTCTCAAAGGAATGGGGCATGGGTGGAGGAATAAGGCCAAAGACTTGGGCCTTCTTTCTGGCCTTGTGGGGTGACTAGATTTCAGTGTCAGTTAGAAACTCACCATTTGCAATATTAGAGTTAGAAGGAACCTTATTTCCAGCCCAATCCCCTCATTTCTCAAATGAGGAAACTGAAACCTCCAATATCAACATCAAATGAAAGAGATGAAGGGATTTGCCCAAAGTCAGAAAATCCATGAGTAACAGAGCTCGTGCTGAAACCCAGATCTCCTCATTTCCCATGTAGGGTTCTTTCCCCTGGATGTACTCTAGTTATCCTTCAGTAACAATCATCTTCCCTAGACATCAACTTGGACCCAGTGTCAGGCCAAGTTCTGTATTTTAAGGTCATAATTGGCAATTTGATGTTCTATGTGCTGAAATGGAAACACCATTGGTTCTTCATCCTGAGCTGAAATTGCAATGTGATCATCATCTCAAAATAGGTACCTACGTTTGGTCCTCCTTCAGAAATGCCTCTTGACTTTACAGTAGAAATGAAGAATTTCAGGGGATGTTTAAGAAAACAAAAAAAAAATAAAACAAAACAAAATAAAAGATAAGTCATGGGATATAAATCTGCAACATGAGATAGAAATACGGCAGGCAGGATGTGAAGGTAATGTCCTCAGCATTGGGTACTCTGGAGTCCTCAGAGAACTCAGATGATCAGAGAAGCCCTGTACAGAGCTCTAGCTAACATCAATAGGATCACATGTCCAAGTGTATTGGAGCCCTCTCCTACCAGCTTGAGAAAACTTATTGTTAAATTTTCAGTGTCATTATTTAGACCTCAGTAATCAGGGCTTAATTCATTTTTTTGTTTTGTCTAGACTTATGAAAGTAATAAAGAAAATGTTAATAATGTAGGTTATATTTAAAAGTGTGTTGTAGTTATATTTTATGTATAATGAAAAGCTGGTTGTTAAACATTTATTGACATACCTCTGGATCACAGGAATTCTCTTTCTTGAGGGCACTGTCTCTAAGGACTAGAGACTCAGGGTGCAAGGAGCTGTCTCCTGGCATGTTTCTCTATCATTTATCCTCTCTGTTACTTCCCAATTAACAGGTCATAGTCTCTTTCCAGTGTTTGTTTTTATCTAGTTATCTAGTTTTCCTCTTGGAACCCAGGTGTCACAGTGGCTAGGGCACTGGACTAGGAATCAGGAAGACTCATCCTCATGAGTTCAAATCTAGCCTCAGACACTTACTAGCAGTGTGACCATGAGCAAGTCACTTAACCCTGTTTGCCTCAATTTTCTTGTCTATAAAATGAACTGGAGAAGGAAATGGCAAACCACTCCAGTATCTTTGCCCAAATGGGGTCATGAAGAGTTGGACATAACAATAATAGTTTTCATTTAATTCAGGGATTCTTCAATTTTTTTGTCATGGACCCCTTTGACAGTCTTATAAATCTTATGGATAGACCCCTTCTCAGAATAATGTTTTTAAAAGCATAAAATAAAAATACATAGGATCCCATGTTCATGGGCCCTAAGTTAAGAACTCACTTTCTCATCAGAGTCCTTCCCTAGAACTTCTGAATTTCCTACATTGAAGGAAATCAGCACCTAGTGTCCGGTGCCATCTTACCCTGCTACATACACCTTGCATATGACTGTGCCCCCTCTACAGGAGACTGGACATTCCCAGATCTGTAGCCATATTATATCAATGGGAGGATCTTGCAAAGAGCTAATTGAATGTAAGCTATTTAGTATTCCTGATGACATTCTCCCATCTTCTTGGTGTTAAAAAGATAGGTTTTTATGGCAGCAAGCAGATAAGGAGAATATAACCAAGAATACTGATAGCTCACATTTATATAATTCTCTATACTTTGCAAATACTTCTATGCTATGAGGTAGACAGTTAATGTATTATCATGTTGTCGTTTCAGTCTTGTCCAACTCTTTGTGATCCCATTTGAGGTTTTCTTGGCAAAGATGCTGGAGTGGTTTGCCATTTCCTTCTCCAGCTCAATTTACAGATGAGGAAACTGAGACAAACAGGGTTAAGTGACTTGCCCAGGATCACACATCTAGAAGTGTCTGAGGCCAGATTTGAATTCAGGTCTTCCTGACTCCAGAGTCCAGTGCTCTAATCATTGCTCCTCCTAGTGGCTCCGAAATAGTATTAGCGCCATTTTAAGGATAAGGAAACTAAGACTCAGAGAAATTATGGGACTTCCCCAGAATCACCTGCCCACTAGTAAGGGATAAAGCTGGGTCTTTTTTTTTTTTACCTTTTTTTACTACCCTGGAGTTGGTTTATGTCTTTAGGTAGAACACACTAATCCCTTATTCTCTAGGGACAAGTCAAGTTGGCTAGCATTTGTACCAAGCTATGTACCAAGCACTATGCCTTATAAGCCCTGAGGATACAAAGAGATACCAAAAAACCAAACCAAAACAAAGCCAACTAGTCCCTGCTCTCAAAGAGCTCAAAGTCTAATAGATGAATAGGAAAGTGAAATATGTGTTCTGCCTTCCCACTAAGTTACTTTTATGTCCCAAGAGGTTATAATCAGAGGGATAGTTTGATTAAAGTTTCTGTATTTGTTAATGCATGCTTATGAGTCTTCTGTGTTCTTTTTACATTGAGAACAGAAACAAAGTTGGGTGATTTTGATCTTTAATGATATTTGTGGACAATCTGTCCTAGTTAACTAAAAAGTTATAGTGGGTGATGAAAAATGATGTCAGGAAACGGAACCAGAATAATACACTAGTGCCCTTTCAGGGAACACAATGTCCATAAAAGTAGTAGTAGTAGTTGTACTAATAGTAATAATGATTTAGATTTATGTAATATTGCATTTTCAAAGTGCTAGACACATTTTACCTTGATTAATCCTCATCACATCCCTGTGAGATAGGGAGGGTACATTTCACAAAATCACTGAAATTTAGAATTGAAAGGGAGTTTAGACTCAGTCCAGTCCAACTCCTATCTAAAAGAGACCCCACTATAGCATACCTGATACTTCTACCTGAAGACCTTTAATTAGGGGGAGACTTCTACCTTCTGAAGTAGCCCATCTTACTTTTGGATAGCTGACTGTTAGGAAATATTTCCACACATCACTCCTAAATCTGCTTCCTTGCAATTTCCACTCATCACTCCTGGGTCTGGTTTTTGCAGCCAAAAAGAGCAAATCTAGTCCCTCCTCTCTGTAACAGCCCTTCAAATAGTAGAATACTATTATCATGGCACCCAAGATCTTCTCGTCCTCACATATCCCCAGTTCCTTCAACCAATCTCTTTATAGCAATGACTCAGGGATCTTCATCATTCTGGTTGTCCTCAGGATGCTCTTCAGTTGATCAATACCCTTCCCCAACTGTAGCCCCAAGAACTGAACACAATGCTTGAGATGTTGTCTAATGATGGCAGAGGACAGTGGCACTATTACATCCTTATGCCTGGAAGCTGTGCTTCTCAGGGAAGTCTGAGATCACAATAGCTTTTTTTTTTTTTTAGCTTTTATTATTATCCTCAATTTATAGATGAATTAACTAAGACAGCTAGATTGTGTAGTGGATAAGGTGCCAAGTCTGGAATCAGGAAGACTCATCTTCACGAGTTCAAATCTGTCCTCAGATACTTGTTAACTGTATGATTCTGGCCAAGTCACTTAACCCCGTTTGCCTCAGTTTCCTTATCTGTAAAGTGAGCTGAAGAAGGAAGTGGCAAACCACTGCAGTATCTTTGCCAAGAAAACCCCACATGGTGTCAAAAAGAGTCAGATATAGCTGAAGTGACTGAACAGCTAACTAAGAGACACATTAAATAACATTCCCAAGGTCATCAAACTAATAACTTGGTAGAGCCAGATTTCAGAGTCAGGCCTTCTGGTGTTGAGTGCAGTACTTTGTTCACAGCACCATTAAGCAAGGTGATATGGCATGTGCTTGATTTGGTGGTTTTAGGAGCATTTTTGTCAGCCTGCCCATTTTATTGATTCTGAATCGTTTTTCATTTTCATGTCATCTGCTCTCTCTCATAGTCTCTTTGGACTCATGGCAATCCTTGGATATGTCTTCAGTTCTCATTGATTCATCCATCATGAATTTTGATATAGCCCATATCAGCATCGATGCTTCCAGCGACTTTTCTGCTGCTAGAGACCTCTGCCTGTCAGGTAAGGAAATATGCCTTCAGGCTTTTCAGAACATTGACTCTTAAAAGATCTTGGGGTATGACCTTGTGCAAGGATCATTTGAATTCTGAATCTGGCACAATGATATTTAGGTCACTGGAACTAACTGAGCTCCCAAAGAGAAGTAGGACCAGCCAAGGATGTACACGGACTTTTGGGTAGCCAGTGAATAGTGAATAGAGTGATGGACATGTAGTCAGGAAGATTTGAGTTCAAATCCAGCCTCAGCTGGCTACTAGCTTTGTGGCCTAGGCCAAGTTATTTACTCTCCCATCCTCATTTTCTCCATCTTTAGGAGGGAAATAATGATATCACCTACCTTAAGCGGTTGTTGTAAAGACTGAATGAGATATCTGTAATACATACATTAAAGCATTATGTAAATGCTAATCACTGAGTGCTAGAGAAGAATTTTGAGAGTCCCTTGGATAGCAAGGAGATCACATCAGTCAATTTTAAAAAAAATTAATTCAGACTATTCACTGGAAGGAAGGGCAAATACTGAAGCTGAAGCTTAAATACTTTGGCCAGATAATGAGAAGATAGGACTCATTGGAAAAGACCCTGATGTTGGGAGAGATTGAAGGAAAAAGGAGAAGGAGACAACAGAAGATGAGGTGGATAGGTGGTGTCATGGAAGCAATGAACAGGCGCTTGGACAGACGTTGAGAGACAGTGGAAGATAGAAGGGCCCAGCATGCTATGGTCCATGGGGTCACAAAGAGTGTGACATTACTAAGTGAACAGCAACAAATTGTTGTTGTTTATGATGATGATAGACTTAGAGGAAGATAAAAGACTGATGGATTAACACAAAAACATAGCTTCTTGCACATTTGAGATAGGGGGAGAAGAGTGATCTCTGGACCTATAATTTCACTGGTATAAAGAGCTCATAGTGAAGAAATCCTTTCTACCAGAGCAGGTTGGCTCTTGTTCTGTACCTTAGAATCTTAGGCTCTAGGCTACTACTTAGACTCTCTACCTTAGAGTCAAAAGAGTTGCCTGTGGCCACTTAGAGGTTAAATGACCTGCCTGGGTTTACTCAGCCAGTCTATATTAGAGGAGGAAGTTTAACCCAGTTTTTTTTCTGACTCCGAGATTGGTTTTCCACCTACTTTATTCATAATGCCAAGTTGACTCACTGACTTGCATAGTAGGTGCTTAATGTTTAGTGAATTGATTTAAATTGAAAACCCTGGCAGGTAATTCTCTTGCAAGCTCCTCTTGCCAGGTCTCAGTTTTCTCCTCTATACACTGGGAAAAGCAGATTAGATTACCTTCTTCTGGTCCTTAAATTCTGGATTCTAATATACTTTCCAGAAGACCTGGATTTTGGTCCTCACTCTGACACATACTATCTGCATGACCTTGAGTAAGTCACTTCCATTTCAGAGCCTCAATTTCTTCTTCTATAAAATGGAGTTTCAGTAAACCTTATCTGACTCTATTAGCCCCTGAGTCATAGTGGAATATCCTGAACATTTCCCCCCTCCCTACCTATGGATTCTCGGTTCATTTTAAGATTTAGCCAAAATGTACAAGATGTTAGATTGTTTATTTGATGATTAAAAATGGCATAGGTGATACATCTGATGATGGACTCCAACATTGTTATGTATATGTAGTGGAATCTATACCTCTGTGTGACATTAGAATAGTATGAATGAATTTCAAATCCAACTCAACAAATATTTATTAATAACCTATAGTATGCCAGACATACGGTACCTTGGAATAGAAGTACAGTAATTAACTATAGTTTGCAAGATTTACAGAACCTTAATGAAAATAGAATGGAAATATTATTGATATACAAAAACATTAGAGTGACAAATTAATCAGAAGCAGAATCTCTAACACATTTAAGCATTTCAAGGTTCTGAGGTTAAGTCATCGACATTCTAGCATCACATTTTTGTCGTACATAAACATGCTGGTTACAAAAATGATAGGTTATGTCTATTGTTGTTTATATTTTGCCAAGAGCTTTCCTCTCACCAGCTCTGTGAGACAGGGAAAAAGAGTAACATTATTTCCATGTTATAGGCAAGGAAGCTGACCATCAGAGAGAGAAAGTAACTTTGCTTCACTCTTGTCTCACTGTGATTGAAATAGTGCTAGAGGCGGAAATCACGAAACCTGCGTTTGAATCCTGGCTCTAATCCGCTTACTCACCGTATGAGTGCGAATAAATAATTTCATCTCAGGGGGCAATGACGGCTGTACTACTTATGTGATAGAGCTGACTTTATGGAAGAAATACTTTCCAGACCTTAAAGTGTTTATGTGTATACATGTACATATATGTTTTTATCATTTATAATAATTAATTATATTTATGTGAATATAAATTAACAAATTTATATTATGAGATTATAATCATTTATTATTTGTAAAATATTTATTTTACTTTATTATGTATATATTTTATACATAGATATGTGTACATATCACCATATAGTATTATAATCTCATATATTATATAGTGTTATATATTATACATATAATAGTGTTATTAATAACATACACGTGCAAGTTATTAATACTATTAATGATAATTAATAGTATTAATACTATCATTAATGTCATTCCTATTGTTTTGTAGCAGCACCCAAGGATTTAGGGACCAACATGTCCCTGTTTGATTCTTGTTCCTTAGCATTTATCCACCGGAAGCTGTCCTTCTCTCACTATTCTCTCTTGTTCTCTCCCAGAATGTTACCAGAAGCCAGCCTGCCACATCACGACCTTGGAGGTCTGGCCAGCATCTGTCCGGTGTGTGTTCTATCCAGATACCCAGAGCTGCACACACAGCCTACAGGGCCATAGCTGCTGGCTCTTGCTCCGGGAGGAGGCCACCTACATTTATAGGAAAAAAGGTAAACTATGACCTGTGGATTCAGAAGCTTGACCTGAAAGTTCACTGGATGAAGAGTGTGGTTGGGAACAGCAGGGTAGGATGGCATTTTATTATTGGATGGAAAGCCTGACAAGCCTGGAGGAGTTTGTTTGTTTGTTTGTTTGTTTGTTTTTTCTAAGCAACTATAGGCAGGGCCAGCCTTATGAAAAAGTGATACCTTTGAGGTTTTAGTTAAAGAAGATGTCTCCTCAACTACTGACTCTAGCATTCAAGACCATTCATAATCTGTCTCCATGTCACTTTTGCAGGCTTAATTCATAATACTCCCTTACAGACTCATATGTTCCAGCCTATAGACTACTCTGTAGCCTCCTTATTCTTAGCCTATGACCCTATGTCTGGAATAAACTACCTCTATCTCTATCTCTATCTCTTCCTTCTCTTCCACCCTCCTTTACACTTACAGCACTCTTTCTTGTCTGATTGTTGTTTGCATAGATAATGGGGAATATACAGATTTACTTAAAATGTACTCTTTATCTTTATGAAGCTTTCAGTCTTGTACAGGGAGATTAATAATAATGATATTGATGATGATAGCTAGCATTTGCATATCACTTTAAGGTTTGAAAAATAACTTTACAAATATTATCCCATTTTTATCCTCACAACAATACTGGGAGGTAGGTGCCATTATTTTTCTCACTTTATAGATGAGTAACCTGAGATAGTCAGGGAACTTGCACAGGGTCACACAGTTAGCAAGTGTCTGAAGCCCAGTTTGAACTCAGGTCATCCTGACTCCAGGCCTAGTGCTCTGTCCACTGCACAGTCTAGCTGCTCCACATGTATGCTTATAACAGTTAGCATTTATGTAGTGCTGGAAGATTTATAAAGCACTTTACATCCATTATCTCATTTGGTCTTCATCATTGACCCTGTGAAGGACATGATATTATTATCCCCATTTTGCAGATGAGAAAACTCAACCTTAAGAAGGTGAAATAATTTGCCCAGAGTCACACAGCTAGTTAGTGTCTATGACAGTATTCAAACTGAAGTCTTCCTGACTTCATGTATAATATTGTCTTCTATGTTACATAATAATAATAGTTAGCATTTATGTATCATTTCAGTGTTTACAAAGCATTTTTACAAATATTATCTCATTTGATCCTCATAACAACCCAAGAAGGTAGGTGTTATTATTATTCCCATTTCACAGATAAGAAGACCAAGACAGAGGTTAAATGACTTTCCCAGGGTCGCTCAGTGACACACACCAATGACTGAGGTCAGATTTAAATTCAGCTCTTCCTGACTCCAGGTCTAGCACTCTAATCACTGTGCCACCTAGCTATTACCATTCAATTAACTTTTTTTTTTAATCCAATGCTACTAATGGCCTGATAACACCTGCATCTCACATAGGTCCTTACAACACCTATCAAAGTTGACAAAGGACAAAAATGCTCATCTAATATTTTTCCACGTCTATTTGTTTGATGTGCACCAGATTAAGATTCACTTTGACAGCTCTGGAGGAAGTGATAATTAATGCTGTCTGTGGGAAATCAAATTTGCATCCTCTTAAAATTCTTAATTAAAAAAATAAAAAGTTACCCTGACATATTCGTCCTCTGTCAGATTCCAGAAATGAACTGACTTCCCCTGGAACAGATCAGGCCTCCAGGGGTGGCCCAAGTCAGACAGTCCTCTTGAGTGCTGAATGCTTAGCAGTCTCTTCGATTTTCAAGCCAAACAGGAAATCTTGCGAAGGAGAAAGACGAATAATAGTTGTTAACTGCAAGAAATGTACAGGTTATAGCATGACCACTGGATCTTTCCATTTCTCGAGTTATATTTCTGGTCTCAGCTCAGTTTAATAACTTGAGGCAGAAAAATGGATGGTGCTCTCTAAGTCATTGGGACCTTGGAAAGCATTGGCCAATAAACAGTAATAACTCAGGTTTCTGTATTGTTTTACAGTCTGCAAAACACTTTCCTCACAATACCCCATAAGATAGCTAGTGTTAAATATTAACACTATTGTATTTTATGAAGGCAGTGAGCTATAGGAAAATGAAGGCTACATTCTAATTGGGGGACCTGAATTTGAATCCCAACCCTATCATTTACCATCTCTGGGACCTTTGGAAAGTCACTTAACCTCTCTTGGCCTCAATTTTCTCATGTGTGAAAAAAGGAAGGGGTTGGACTAGATGACCTTTACTGTCCCTTGCAGCCCTAAATCTATGATACTAACATCTTCCTATTCCAAATCCAGGACTCTTTCTATTATTCCAGGGTGTGTGTCTGTTAATTTGTCAAATGAGACTGAATTCCACACAAGGAAGACTTTGAGGTGTAGATAGTCATGAATGACATTATATGAAATGCCCATAAAAGAGGCAGGCTAAATTTTCTCTGATTCATTCAATTCAGTCTAACACTGCTTACTATATTCAAGGCCCTAGATAACCCTTGGGGGAGTAGAAGTACTGGTCTGTGTCCTCAAAGGAGTTCTGGCTTCATAAAATTTCACAAAATAATTTCAGACCTGGAAGGAAACTTAGAGGTCAGATTAGTTCAGCAGAGAAAATGCATGTATTAGAACCAATAAGAGGATGAGATCATTCTAATTAATTGTTGGAAAGTTTTCTTTTTTTTTTCTTTTGACCTGAAAGTACTTGTCTGGAACTTCCACCCTAACTAACCCTCGTTCTCTCTGTAGCCAAGCAGAACCAGCCTTTCACGTGTCCGTGTGTTAGGATGTTATCAAAGCTGGAGTTGAACCAGACATTTTCTAACGTGCCTTCCAATCCTAAGATTCTGTCATTCAAAAGTATGGTGTTTTCTATCGTTAGATATTAGTAAAAATAACAATATAGGTGAAGTGTTTATTTTTGCAACTTTTCTATAGGTACCTCCACACTGAACTATACTACAGACCCAGCCACAGTGTTCATTGCCACCCAAGGGACTCTGAAGGGCAGATCTGAGGCGATTAAAGTGGGTGCTGAATGGAAACGAATCACCCAGTTCTTTGGAGTTCCGTATGCAGCCCCACCACTGGCACAAAAGCGATTCAGTGCACCAGAGTCATATAGTTGGACTGGCTCTTGGGAGGCCACTGTGCCACGGTAAGGGTTCCATTGGTGGGTAGTTTTGTGATTTTTTTTTCAAGAATCTGGTGCTCTATATCATAAATCTAGTCATGTCACTCCTTTGCCCATGAACCATCAATGACTTCCTTTGTCTCTTGAGTAGAGATTACATTTCTCTGCCTGGCATTCAGGCTAGCTGCAACCTGGCCACACCCTATGTAGTGAAGAGAATTGTAGCATAGTAGAAAGAGGATCTAACGAAACAATGAAGGGAAAGCATTTTGTAATCGTGACTGATATGTAAATATCAAGCTCTTTTTAGTTATTTGACCATCCCCATGCTTAGAATTGGCAGTTAAGTGGCACAGCGGAGTCAGGAACTCATCTTCCTGAGTTTGAATCAGGCCTCAGACACTTATGCGTGACCCTGAGCAAATCACTTAACCTTGTTTGCCTCAGTTTCCTCATCTGTAAAATGGAGAAGGAAATGGCAAACCACTCCAGTGGCTTTGTCAAGAAAAACCCAAATGGGGTCACAAAGAGTTGCACAGGACTGAACAACAACAATAATGCCTGGAATGTTCTCCCTCTGCCTGCAACACACAGCTCAAGCACTGCCTTCTACATGAAGTCCTCCCTCATCCTCTCTACTGTTAATGGCCTCTGTCCTTAACTACCCATTTTTAAATACCTTAAAATTATTTGTATTTGTTCTGTATATGCTTAATATATCAGCATGTTGTCTCCTCCAATAGAAATATAAACTCCTTGAGGACAGGGTAGAATTAACCCTTCAGAGGTTTCATCTTTTTTCTTTGTATCTTCAATGCCTAACATGGAACCTGACACATAGCGGTCACTTCGTATCTATTAATTGACTGATTGTATACCGGACTTTGCTTTGTTTCATGGTAAAAATATTTTTCCTTAATTCAGCTTTGTTGATTAGTTGTGTCCAACTCTTTATGACCCCATTTGGGGTTTTCTTGGCAAAGATACTGGAGTTGATGAGGTTGGGATCTGGACCCCAGAAAGGAAAAACCCTGAACTTTCCCACATGGTCAAATCTCTGGATTTCTCCTGAGGCTATAATCCCATCAACTGGCCTTTCCTTATTGCCTTAACCTTAACCTAGCCTAGCCCTCCATTGTCTCACCTCCCTATGGCCCCCACTACTTCCCACCCTTGATCCTATCTAGACCCAATTCTCAATCTCTGAGTCATTCCCATCAAGATCCTTCCTAGATCTCTCCCATAGTTTTTTTGTATGTAAGGTCCATCTTGTCTCCATTTAGGTGCTCAGATTCCTTAAGAACCTAGCCAATAGCTCACTAACATCCAGATTCCTTAAGAGTCTGCCCATTATGATGGATGTTCTAATAAACCTTGTCTTTGGCTGAAAGAAGGCTTGGATCTAATTCTTTCAGGTAGGACCCGTGTTTCTTGTTCTCGATATTTTGGGTCCCAGCACTTCTACACCTCTAGACCTCATCAGAGTGATTTGTCATTTCCTTCTTCATCTCATTTTACAGAAGAGGAAATTGAGGCAAAGTTAAGTGAGTGATGTGCCCAGGGTCACACACCTAAGAAGTGTCTGAGGCCAGATTTGAACTCAGATCTTCCTGACTCCAGGCCTGGCACTCTAACCACTGTGCCTAGTTGCCCATAGCTGGCACATAGTAGATACTAAATAAATGTTTTTAATTCATTAAATGATATAAGGTTTATAAAGTATGTTGCATACCTTATCTCATTTGATCCTTATAACCATATGCTGATAATTACAAATAAAGGAATGTAGCTTACAGAGGTCAACCAGGAAAAGGAAGTGCCTGAGTCAGGATTTGAACTCAGACCTTCTGATCCATTTAGACCAAACTGCCTCTGTAGTAATGGCCAAATTACACTGGTGAGTCCTGGATCTTCTTTTCTTGTTTTTCTTTCCGCCACTTTGCCCACTGTTGCACATCAGTTCATTTGCATCTTAGATGGTCAGCCAAAGGCTTTATGCCCATGAGACTTCGGTACTTAGAGAGGCAGTTTGGTGTTCATTACTGATTTCTGTCTCAACTCAGCAATTCTGAATGTGTTTTTACAAATGTTTAAAAGTGACTTTTAAAAACAAAGAACCTCATGGAATGTCTCCTGTATTAATTAGCCATGAGGAGGGGCAGGGTGGGAATTGGGGTGGAGAGAGCAGGAGAGGAGGAAAAAGATCTAGGGGGTATTGAAGGTCATGAAATTTAATTTGGGTTTAATTGTGCACATGGTAACTCCACCTGTGTCTTTAGGGCCAAATGTTGGCAGCCTGGATTTGGAAAGGCTTCATCTCCTACTGCCAGTGAAGACTGTTTGTACCTGAACGTATTTATCCCTCAAAACCTTGTGAGTATTAAGCTACTTGGATATTTGACATGTAAATGAGACACTGTTGAAAAATTGCCTTCCCCTAAGAGACCAATAAGGTCAAGGTTCCATTCTCCAAGTGGTCTGATTACTTTTCCTTTGTTCCCACCGGCATAACTCCAGCTTACCCTTGGTTACATGCAGGTCTGGGTGAGAGTGTGGATTGCATAATTCTAAGGCACCCCCTTACTAAAAATTAGCTACAGTGTCCTATGGTGCCTTCATTGTTCCATCTTCATATAGGAAGGGTAGTATTGTTTTCTGTATGTCGTCTGCAGCCTACTCTCTAACTCACTTTGACCTCATATGAACTGCATTCAGTCCCCAAAGAGAACAAGCTTTTTTTTTTCTTGCAGTACCGACATATTCCCCTCTCTCCCTCCATCTTGCTGTGCAAAGTAAAATCTCTGAACTAAAGCAAATACTTAAAACGTGAAACTATAACCCCTGGCTCCTATCATGTGATCTTGGGAGACTATGGGACTGCTGAACAGATTTCACTTTCACCTCAATCTGCATTTTTCTCAGCGGTAACTCATGCAGGTATGGCAGGCCATCTCCCCCAGCAACACCTTCTACTGCACAGCCAGCGTTCAATTTAATGACTAGACCTCTGGAACTTATGAAGTAATCATAATATAGGCTGGAAACATCTGTCTCTCATGATCTCTATCTGGCTACTTGTGATCAAGGAAAGAAACACAAAGCAAGGGCTAGGCATTTGAGGCCTAAACTCTGATTCATCTAGGCAAGCACGGGTTCTCCCAGCTGTGTGCTGGTGATTATCATAGTTCCTGCCAGGGAGCGGGAAGGAGAGAAATCACCTCCCTCTTACTGCCTTCCCCTGTGCTGGAAGGCGAAGAGAGAGTTGTCGGAGTGCAGAGAGAAAGGGGAGGACTTCGGTCACACCTTTTGAAATATACTGAATGGGTAGCTCTCTTTAATACAGTTGCTAGTTATCTTTGACATAGTCCCACAATCACTGGGACCCAGTAAGGGATCACTGTGTCATAACAAAACACAAATCCATGAGAACAATAAGGAATTGCTCCATCATTACAGAAAGCAAGACCTTGGACACTGAGCCAGAGTACTTGATTCTCTCCACTGAACCACAGCTTACATTCTCAGTTGCCCAGGAGGCCCTGCAGATGGGGGAAGCTCCCCGACCAGCCCTATCACGTGAATAATGTCCCTGCTGTAGTGCCACAGAAGTGGCTGACAGCCTGTTTCCGGCTGAGCCATATGGGGTGGGTATACTTAGGGTACAATTGGAACAGGCCTTAGAATATATAATGTCAGACAGAATGTGAGAGTTGGAAAAAGCCTTAGAAATCAGTCCCAACCCCTCAATTTACTGATAGAGAAACTGAGGTTCAGAGAAGTGACATAAGACTTGAGAAGTATGTTTCATGCCTTATCTCACTTTTTTTTTTTAATAGGAAGAATAGCAGATAGATCATACGGTCAAAAGAAACTCTCCCAAGATTAAGCAGCTAGCAAGCTAGAAAACGTTTCCATTTTATCATCACTGATTTACGTATTATGATACTACAATTTCAGAAATGAGTGCTTTTATGAAAATGGTTTACATTTTCTATTAGTGGTTCCTTGATTAGATTGAAGAGCAGCTGCTAATCATATTGGTAAGATTTAGAGCTCATCTGCTTCCCATTTACTGATCTCTTAGGGTTCCTGACTTTGGGAAAATTCCTGTAGAGAGCTAGTTTCATCCATTGTGGGTTGTTGATTCATTAGCTTCAGCAGGTGATATTTCCTAGCTATAGCTTCCTATTCTGGAAGGTGGGGGTGAGTGGGGGTGGAGGTAGCCCTCTATGTATACTCTAACAGTATACTTTAGATTTCTTTCATCGGCAAAAAAGAGAGGCAGTGTGGGGTAGTAAAAATAAAATTAGATACCCTGAAAACTTAACAATTGACCCTCTCAATTGGACTTGAGCTGACTCCAGCATACCCCCGCTTCTAATTCTAACCATCTATGATTCTGTGTGAACAAATAACAGGTAAAATTTATTACTTAACTGATGATGCTGGAGTAGGAAGTGGTGACTGTTGTCATAGGTATGCTTGTGACAAAATCACCATTTCCTGATTTTGCCTACTTCAGTTAGTGTGATCTGCCTTGGGAGAATGGCCCTGCTGTTCTTCCCAGTGAAGCCCCACCCACCCACTCAGGGAGCTGAATCAAAGAAGCCTCTGTGGCATCCGTCTTGGTCTCAGTCAACCCAGATTAGTGTAGATGGTAACTTGACCATCTGAGAGTGAGAACAATGTTGTGAGAGTCTCCGAAGCCTGGACCCATTTGCCCTAGGTATTTGCCTAGATTTGCATGCAGCTGAGAGTTGACTCTGACTCATTACTTTTTCTTTTCTCACTCCTGGATCCCACCTGCTCCATTCCTATTCACTGGTAACAAGACAAGCATTTTCTTTTGCTGATTAAGAAGAACAATACAAGAGATTCAGGAAAAGAGTGATTCCTGCACATTGTTGGTTTTCTACAGCTAAAACATACCAGATCTTTGTGTTATCCCATTTGAAACTTAATCTAACACACCCTCTAGTTTGACATTTTGGGGGGAGCTCGGTATTAAATAAATAACACATACACACACACACACACACACACACTCTCACACACCCATGGGGCAGTTAGGTGCTGTGATGGATAGAGTGATCCCCCCTTGAGTCAAGAGGACCTGAGTTCAGATCCGGCCTCAGATACTTATTAGCTGAGTGACCCTAGGCAAGTCATTTAACCCTGGTTGCCTCAGTTTCTTCATCTGTAAAATGAGCTAGAGAAGGAAATGGCGAACCACTCCAGTATCTTTGCCAAGAAAATCCCAAATGGGATCACGAAAAAATCAGACATGACTAATCAATTAAACAACAAAAAATATATACATATGTACAAATACATACATACGTGTATTATTTGCTTATATTGAAAGATCAATTCTTCCAGTTTCTTTTTTTGGAGGGAGGGAGAATGGTTATTATGTTTTTGTATATGTATGGCACAAGAAGGCAATTTGGAGCAGTCAAAGGACACTGAATTAAACACTGGAAACCTGGTTTCTTTGGAGGCTCTGCCAGGGACTTGGCAAGTTATGCCCCCCCTTCTGGCCTTGCTCTCATCTCAGAGGACCATAGGATTTAAAACTGGAAGGGACCTTAGAGAACTTTTTGCAGGTGAGGAAACTAATGTCTAGGCATGTAAAGGGATTTGCCATTCTAGGTAGTAAGTACAAGAGCTAGAATTTGAACCCAGGTATTATGACCAGAGGACCAGTCTTCCTTCCACTGTACATCATAATCCTCTTGCACTGTTAGGGATTGGACAAAATGATCTCTTAAGAACTCTTCTGGCTCTGATATTTTTATGGCTCTGTGTGTTCCCTTTCATTAATCATTATTTGCAGGGTCTCTGACAAAGAGAAATTGATAATATATCAAGAGTTAGAGATCTTAAAATAAGAATGGTGGGTGAAAAGCAAGTCATATCTTAGAGCCACAGCAAGTAGAAAAAGTCTTTCTAGATAAGGGGTGAAAACCATATGAGTCCAATTTGCACACTTAGAACTGAGCCAAGTATCAGATGTTTTTTCTCCTTCAGTGCTATAAAGCCTGCCTCATTTTTTCAGGGTCAGAATGCATCAGTGCTAGTGTTCTTCCACAATACTGGTGAAAATGGTGGGAGAAGGGAGCAGCTGGACCTGGAAGGATCATTCCTGGCTGCAATTGGTGATGTCATTGTGGTCACTGCAAGCTACCGAGTTGGCATCTTTGGCTTCCTGAGCACTGGTGAGTTGTATTCATTCATTCATTCAATCATCATTCAACAAATATTTTATTAGGTGCCTACTGCATGCAGTTGTGTGCATTCCAATTCCTAAGTATTAGAGAATAACACTTGGTTGAGATTTTTCAATAATTCCACAAGTACCCACTCTCTACTAGGTACTGTGGGAGAGTTTATAGTTTAAACAGAAATGGCGTATAGATGCAATTAATTAAGTACCACAAGAGAGAAAGTATTTCAGTGGTCTGGTGGAGGGAGAAATTATCTTAGCCGGCAAAAGAGATTTCCTTGTGTGCACTTAGCACCTTCTGTCCAACACTGTCCTCTTAACTGTCTGGGAAAACAGTCCTGTTTCCTTTCATAACAGCCTGGGACAGGCCTGAATTGTTTAGCTTACTCTTGCAAATCCCCAGTGACATAGATGTCACAGTTTTCCAGCAGAAATAATTCCACTGTTTTCCTTCTGTTTAGGCCTTTAAGTGATGAAAAGACTTTTTAAGGGCAGCATGGTGTAGTGGGATCAAGGGACCTACGTTTGTATCCCAGCTCTGTCTTGTGAACAGGACAAGTCATTCTCTTTCCTTCTGCTTCTGTATGCGTATCTGTCAAAGGAGAATCACAAGAATTGCACTACCCTCCCCGACACTCTCCTACACACACACACACACACACACACACACACACACACACACACACACACAC